CCTGCATGCTGAAAACCACTTAAGTAAAAGTACAAAAGTTTCAGCATCAAAATATATTCCTAGAACCAAAAGTACTCATTCTGCAGAGCGGCAGAGACGCTCACGCTCGGCTCTCTGATTGGGTCTTATAAGTCATGCAAAGCAGAAACACGATGCTGCTGACAGAGTTTTTGATTTGGTATTTTTATTAAATTGTTGTGTACTGTGTGAATAACACTTACAGCCTACACTTTTACTGTGCATGTTGCTGTATTTACTTTGCGACGACTCCCAGTCTGTTTTTCTGCCGCCACCGCCGCTTTTTCTTTGCCTGCATTTCTTTATTATTTCGCCAAATCTTCTGTAAGTACGGAACAGACCATTTGCTTAACGTTTACACCGGCACGCACACGCCCAGTGCACGTGAACGAGTTCAGTTGTTTTAGTGTAGACTGAGATCAACTCTGATACGCAGCTAGAACGCCGCTGTGGACGGAGATCGTATTTGTTTTAAATCTCCGTTTTTAAACTACAACGGAGTAGTGTGGACGGGGTCTTCGCTTGGGAACAGGAGGGTCACCGGTTTGAGTCCAGCACAGACCAGTCATATGGAGCAGTGCAGAAGTAGCCCTTGGACCTGAACCCTAACTGCTCAGGCGCTGACTACATGGCATCCCCCTCGCTCCAACATCTCGCCGTAGGTTAATGCATGTGTATAACGTCTATTACAATAACAACAGATTGTAAAAACTGACGGCGGATCCAGATTACAGAGCACAGGGGGGAAATCCCCTGATAAATTGCGGGGGGGACCCAAAAGTGAAGGCCGCCGCCGGCCTCTCTTTACTGCTACTAAGTGGAAAACAGTACAGTCAGAGACTGTCTTTGCTGGTTACATGAACTCTTTCACCTGCACATGACCTTTTCATTTTGCCCTGTCAACATTAAAGCTCTACTGTCTCCTTTCTTAATGATATTCTCACCAACATTTGGCTCTTGTGTAATAAGTAAACTCACCATCGGTAACATAAAGCACTGCACAACTACAAAAGAAAGTTTGCAGTCGCTTCAAGCTTTACATTCAGATTTTATAAGATAATTAAATGTGTTTTAGAATATGGTAACATATAAAACAAATAAAACTCTTATTTAAATACACACCCGCATTTTTTTATTTGCGTCTGCAAGAATGTAAACAGCAGCAACAAGACAATAATACGGTTTCAGCTTCACATATGAAGTCTGACATTCATGAAACAGACTCCTCGTAGACCGAGTCTGAGCACCGAGGATCATCGATGTACCACAAATGTAAGATACAATGAGTTTTTCCCACCAAATGCTACTGAACTGTTGTTGGACAGAAGCCACAAGTATGTTATTTGTCCAGTTGCAATTCACCATGAAGAAGACGACGAAGACCAAAAATGTTGTGATCATCATTTGCACAACAGCTGTGTTTGATTTGAGAACACTGCCATGTCAAAATCCATGCAGTGTACTAACCGGGGGCGGAGCTAGACTGTCATCGTGGGCCCACCTGCTACAACGACATATTAACCAAGTTTACACGACCCCAGACTCACTCCCAAAGTCCACAGAGTGCTGGAGCAGCCTTTCTACTAAATGTTTGTGCTCACAAGCGCTGCAGTGCGTCCAGGAAGCGTCGCAGTGACAAGCAGCACAGAGCAGATGAACCGGGCAGCAAGAAACATTTCTACTACGTAGCCTACTTAAACATAGAAGAAGCACAAAAAGTAAGCACTAATCACCAAATCGACAAAATCTAAACATGTCTGCAAAGTCCGGCCGGTAAAACGCTCTTATTCTGAAAGGCTCCTCTGTGGTAGTTGCTAGACGCACCGGTCAAGACGAGAAACAAAAGCGATCCACAGAGAGCTGTGAAGAATGTAGTAGAAGCACAAAAAGGACAATTAAAAACAAGTCATTAACGTGGGGCAGGCTGCAGGCTGCGCTGCTGAAACGCTTCTGAGAGGCTTCAAGTGGAAGTCGACGCCGTAAATAAACCACTGCGCAGACTACGCCCCTCAGAATTCCCATGATGCATGAGGGTGACGGGAGTTTTGTTAAAATGTGCTAATAAGTTTGCCATTTGTTTGAAATACAAATGTTACTTTATCATTTATGTTTACGTGTCTCCGTAGAATCTGGTGTGTTTGTTGGTGATTGTCGTTCTTGTGGTGGTTTACTGTTGAAACCAGGAGTGAAGAGACTGTTTCATTTGATAAGAGCTGCTGAATTCTCCTGCTACAGCGTATCGTCATGTACCGTTAATCATCTGAGCTAAACTTCATAGACCACATAGCCGGGGCCCCCTACCAGCCGGGGCCCCCATGCACCCACGCTACCTCCGCAGTTAGTTTCTGTAACACGGCCCCGGGTCTCCTGATCTCAGGAGCTGATGTAATCTGACCCGAGTCAGGATTTGTTTGTGGTTTTTTGAAAAGTAGTCCAGCAAACACCGACCATGTGCCGGTGACCGACGCTGCAGCCGTGTGTAAACGGTACATAAGAGTGATGCAGGTACAAACAGCTGAGCCGCCTTCACTCCTGTTTAGCAATGACACAAAACACGCCCACACCTGCGGGTCCTGAACACCCAGAACTCTCACAGTCCGGCACTGAGCTCAGACTTTCTGTAGTCGTTAGATCAGAAACAGCAGCGTATGTTTTTAAAATGTAGATTCAGGCCTCTGGTCCTCTGTGTGGTCTGAGTAAACCAGGTGGACCTGTGAAGACCTCTAGTCTGAGTGGAAACCACCTTCTCCCTCCAACTGGATTCCAGTGTGGGTGTGATTACAGCAATAACAGCTGACTGGCGTTTTCACAACAATGGTTTGCTTTAATCAGCATGTTTTCTTTCACCCTACCGACTCTGACTTTTATATACTAGTTCTTAATCATCATAAGGATGGAGATGGATGAGATCTCCTTCGCTGATCAGTATCAGTGTTCATGTGGTCTGATCTGTCAGCAGTGAGATACTTTGTCCACCAGACAGCTTTTTGTGAAGTTTATTTTTAAATATCCGGATCATAATTCCCATCTGAGGATCCTTAAATATGTTTATGTCCCAGAAAGTGTTTCCCAAGCCTTTTCTGTCAGGTTCTGAGGGTTTGTTCTTCTGGGCTGATCTCTTCACTCTCCTGTTTATCTGCTTATGTTTTACAGTTTGTCATCAGAATTTGTATATGCCATGACGTTCTGTTGTGAATCTGTTCTGCCCACGTGACATCTACATCCTGTCGGGGAGGATCGCCTCTCTATGATCTGTGAGATCAGGCTGCATAAACAAAACTGACTTATCTTGTTTGATCTGATAACATCCAAGCTCTTTAGCTAAGCCTCACGGGTGCTATCTTTACAGACAATGGACTGCTGCCGCATTACTTTCACGTTATTTAAGAAAGAAAATGCCCAGATTCACATGCTTTTTTTGCTGATTTTGCTTTAACGCCACCTTTGATTTTTGGGAGACTGGGAATAATCTCACATTTTCTAAACCAAATGATGAATCAGTTACTCAAGAACAAAAACGACATAAATTGAAAATGAAATTAAACAGTTGCAACCAGCCCGTCCTCCCTCCCTGACTCGTCACATATGGACGCATGGTCGAGACCCATCGGCGTCAGTTTGTAACGCCGCCTGTAGCGTCATAGTTAGGGTTGGATATCGTTTAAAATTTTACGATATCAGAACCAGAACCCCTTAAAGTGATACCGATACCAACAGAGTACTTTATTCAATGCCTTGCATAAAACGCCACCTGTTGAAGCCACAGTAGTTGATTGGTAGCTTCTTTTATTATTGTTGGTATGGACAAGCAAGGTGATCTGTTTTATTTTTCTTGTTTCAAATAACTGTTGCATAAAAAGTATTTTATATTAAATATAAAATAATATAATATATATTGTAAAACTGTATCAGATCCTGCTCGTCCTGATTAGTTCGTCCTCACTGGTGGTATTAGCCTATAAGAGGAAAGACCGCAGCTTGGGAGTTTTTTATATTTGAATGAGAGGAGGGAAACAGTTAAGTGACCAATTGACGACATGCTGCACGTCGTTAGATCGGTTAGATTCTCCACAATACCACTGTTCAGTTCATTTAACGGAAACCACAAGACCCAAAGTCTAATTCTGATAGATTTACCGCTGTAACCAGCCTGGTACAAGAGATGAAACTCCCGTCACCTTTGAAGCGCTCGTTCAGTCCAAATGTGTCCGTTCCTGATTATTTATCTTCCTTCAGTCTGTGAGGCTCCACCCATCAGAAGAATCAGAACAACTTTATTAATTAGTGAATCCTGTCATGTGATGTCCGTCGCTCTCTGTCTGCTAACTTCTCTCATCCTGCAGCCTGTTGTTGTTTTCCTTAGGTTACTGCCTTCAAAATAAAAGCGCAGAAGCCATCTGTTGGAGCTGGATCAAATGAATGACGTGTATTTGATATTATTGGATCATTTTTACATAAGTATTATTCTGTTTGAAATAAATAAACTGTTTCATAGTAGTTTCAGTTTTGTGCAAAATAAAGGCCGGGTCAATTCAGTGATTTTAGCAAATAAAAGCCCGGGCTATTATTCAAAGTTTCACTGTAGTCGTTATTTGCAGCCCTAGTGGTGTGGCCATGTCCCCCAGTGTAAATGACATGTATGTAAACAAGGGTGTGGAGGAACTGAGCACACACACACACACACACACACACACACACACACACACACAGAGGAATCCTTCATTACAAAGCAGCAGAGTAAACAGGTTGCAATAAACAATAGACAACCTTAGAAAGTTTCCAGGACCGGCTCAAAACATATGATATCACACACACACTTCCCAAAAACATTCCAGTGTCCTTGTGGAAACTACTGGAGAATTACAGCATCTCAGTGTGACCCAGTTGGACCTGAGGACTGTCTGTTAAAACCCGCCCCCCTTTCATTGTCCGTGTCTAAAAAAGGCCGCAGACTGTCTGGCAGAAAAAAAAAAAAACCTTACCTGACAGTGGCTCTCTGGGTTTGACCTCCTCCATCGCCTCCTCCTGCACCGACTGCTCCTCGGGGCCCTGGGACGAGTGGTCGGCCATGGACTCCCTCTTTAGCTTCCCTAGGCCCACCAGCTTCATGAAGGACAGGCGGCGGCTGGTGGAGTCACATTCGCTCTCCGAGCAATTCGGCTCGCCGTTGGTGAAGGTCTCCTTACGGGAGCCGAGGGTGTCGCGATATTTCCCCGCAAACCTTGGAGGGAGGAAGAAACGTGAACAAACTACCTTCATTTTATCTCAACAAATTTCCCACATTCTTATATTCATTATCAAAGAACTTTATCTAAACGTACCCGTGTTTTCCCACTGACCTTTAACAAACTTCCATCATCCCTCTTTACCTCATCAAACCACCCTTACTCCCTTTTTACCTTAAAACTTCCCTGATCCACCAACCCTACACGGGCAAAAAACGACGCTAAAGGGCATTAAAAAATGATGCCAAGGGGCGGGGGCGGAGCTAGACTCTCAGCACAGTGGGGGCGGAGCTTCATCACAGGGCCCTCCTGCTACAAAGTCATTTAAGCCAAGTTAGAAAGTCCACTGAGTCCGTCTTCAGAAGCTGATCGCAGCCACTCTGGTCAATGCTTGTGCTCACACCAGCGCCTACAAAACGTAGCAAAACGTTTTGAGATTGAACTCGCGAGAGAAATGAAATACCGTGTGCAGACCCAACAATAAACACAGTTTAAAACAGACAGAGAAGAAACAATTCAACTACGTAGCTACTTCATCATAGTAGAAGGTAAAAAAACAAGCACTCATCACTAAATCAACAAAATCAGGCAGGCTAAACGCTCTTATTCTGAAAAGCTCCCTGTGGGCTCTGCAGATCCTATTTCCAGTCTATGATCAGAACCAAAGCGGGTCACACAGAGCTGTGAAGAAGGTAGAAGAAGCTCCGCTGCTGAACTTCCAGTGGAAGTTGAGGACGGAACTAAACCGCGGCCAGAATGACGCATGGCGGTGAAGGGAGTTTTGTTAAAATTAGCTTTTTAAGTTTTTTTATAGAGGCTACAGTCTCTGGGTTTACTATTGAAACCAGGAGTGAAGTGCCCGTTTCATTTGAGCGGCTGCTCTGACCAATGAAAGCAATTTCCTTGTACGGTCGTGTCTACAAGCAGATGACAACGCATTTGCGGTGATGCAGGGGGCCCTTACCTAGCCGGGGCCCTGGGTCGGCCGCCCCCATGCACCCACAGAGTTTCTCTCTCCTAACCATGACAAACTCCTACAGTCCGACTTTACCTCAGCAAACTTCCCTCAGAGCTCCTCCTGCCCCTCTTCTTCTTCTCTGCAGGTGAAGGCGTGCCTTGCAGCGAGCCCTGCGGGGACGGCGTTGCACTTCCTTTGCTCCTTCCCGACATTCTCAGGTTCTTCCCCAGCTTTCCCAGAGTCTTCAGCGGGGAGGTGAACTTGAACGATCCCTTCCCCGAACCGCCGCCTCCGCCTCCACTTCCCTTCTTCCCCTCATTGGCCTCGTTCTCGTCCTCCTCATCCTCAAACGGGTTGCGGTCCCTCGGCCCATCGCCGTCAAGGAGAGAGCTGCCCGGCGACCAGTGGTTGCCATGGCCTCCTATGCCGTGGATGCTGTCGTCGTCGTTGTCGAAGGGGTTGTGATGGTGATGGTGGGGGGTGATGTTGAGGCTCATCCTGCGAAGGATCAAAGCGTTCTCTAGAGTCGGACCGCCGCCTTTCAGGCGCACTGGGAGGTTTTTGAGGATGGGCATGATGGAGCTGGGGGAGGGGGGGCAGGGAGGGAAGAACCTGGGGAGGGAGGAGAGAGATCAGTCAGTCAAATGAAAGAGCTGAACTGTTGTGAACTGAACTGTGGAGTCCGTTTCCACTGGACTGGCGGGGGTTTCCAAACCCCACCACGACGGGAAACGACAAAACAGAGACATCATGAATCCTCAAACTTTAACAGAGTTCCCACAGACAAAAACATTAGATTCAAAGCTGTCAGTAACTGTGCAAACATATCTGTAATCATCCATCTTCCTGCTGTCGTGAGCTCATCTAATAATGCGCTGACTTCCATCAGTGTAGGTAAGATTTAAGAATAAAGAAACGAGCAGCAACCCTGCAAAGAACCACGGGCTCCAACAATGAAGCTGCTGTTGGAAAGTTTCTGATCAAACCTCTTCGTTATCCAAAGACCAGTGTAAGAGTTTATCATTGCAGCCCAAAACAACGAGAGATGTGCAGTTAAAAGCTGGTATGTGGACCTCGATCCGACAATCAACTTCCATCCATAAGACATTTCAGTTCTATTCTAACATATTTCAAGGTAAACCAGTTTATAAGTGACTTAGCAGTGACTGATCCATTAAACTGGCCGCTTATATAAGGTTCTAACATATTATTATGTGCTATGTTTGAAATTAAATTGTAAATACTCTGTACAGCGCCTTTCTAGTCTTTGTGACCAGTCAAAGCGCTTTTACACTGCATCGCATTCACCATTCACACACTGGTGGAACTGCCAGCGGGGGAAAAAAATCGGGGTTCAATATTTGACATGCAGCCTGGAGAAGCCGGGGATTGAACCGCCGATCTTCCAATTAACCTGCTCTACCTCCTGAGCACGGCTGGACTGGGACAAAAAAAGCAAAAATCGGCCCTGTCATTTTTGCCCACTAGAATTTGTCGGACACCCCTCACCAACACACCATCCTTCCTTTTAGGGGGTCAGATTAAGATTGGTGTCCATGAGACAAGAATATATTTTTATAGAGCTACTATTTAGAAAAAATATTTATATTTGAAATATTGAATGGGAGGGTGTGAGGGTCCTGACCCAGAAGACTTTGAGCATTAAACACTTCATTTCCTGCAATCTGGACATTTTCTGCACCAATTTGTGGTGGAAATGTCTTTATTTTTATAAAGGGAAGAACACCATGCAGGTGGCAGGTGACAATTCACAATATAAAAATATAATAAAATATAATGCAGTAATCAGTAGCTTATTTTTATTATTTTTTGGTTAACAAATGCTTTTTAATGTCCCCAGCGTAAATGACCCTCCTCCCTACAGGCTGAGCTGCTCCATGCTTACCGCTTCACCTCCACTCTCCTCCTGCTCTCTCTCCCCCTCAGCCTATCACGTCTGCTTTGCTCTCACACGCCTCCTCTTCTGCCTGGCAGGGGCCACGGCTCCTTTACTCCTTCAGGTCCCTGTGCTGCTCTACGTCGGTGCTGATGTTGAAGCTATCAAACATATCGGTTATTTTCGCGCATTTGACGGCCTCCAGTCTGAAGAATGTTTTTTTTTTGTGGCCCGTAACGCAAGAAACAGAGAGCAGAGGGGGTGGGGGCCCGTAAGAGATTTAAATGTAAAAGTCTTTTTGAACACTCAGTGCTTTTACACTACATCTGCATTCAGCATTCAGTCCACGCTCGACCTCCTGAGCCACAGTCGCCCCCAAAGTGATGGACCGGCCCAGCGATAGTATAGAAAGTTACCCAACGGGCCCATTTTAAAAATAAACAGTTTACCTTACACCGGCCCCAAAGGGTGCGTCGGCCCACCGGCATTTTCCCCGTATGCCAGATTACCAGTCCAGCCCTGCTCCTGAGCCACAGCCGTCCCCCTTGTATCAAATGCTTTCTAGATGATGGGGGATTTGTTTTTATATTTATTTTCTGTTTGACTGATTTTGTTGTTTAAATGTATTATTTAATCCTGATTTCACTATAAAATGCTGTTTTTAATTAGAAACCATGAATAAAATGAGGAATGAGTTATAACTATACTCGTCTCGCGCTCACGATGTGCAGAAATGTTCCACCGTGCGTCACACCTGCTGTGTTCAGACTTCAGGGGAAGTTCTTAATAACTCTGCTGATAAGACTCCACCCTCACAGAGACAGTCGGTTACACTTTATGACAGCCGGTCAGATAACACCGAGGTCAGGACCTGATGTCCGGTCACCACAGCAACACATCCGGCTCCTCCTCTTCCTTGGGTTTAGGACGAGAGGACGGAGGAGGTGAAACAGTGAGGGATTTAAATTAATGCCTGGTGCACATTAGAGGAATTTCAGATCTTAACTTGTTTTAAGAACGCGGGATCCCACAGACGTAACGACAGAATGAGCCGATGTTTAATTTTAGAATATTAACACACACCCGACGGTTCAGTCCAGACGCAGGAGATGGTTTCAGAGCGGCGGTTGCCGGGGACTTGGGATCTCACAGAATCTCGCGTGATCAAACGTGACTTCAGACAGAAACAAACACAGACTGTCAGCTGGTTGAGCCTGTGCGTGCCGTGTTTTGCACAAAAGCTCAGCTCGCTCTCATTGGCTGCTGCGGGTTTCTGATTGGAAGCTCGATCCCTGATAACAAATGGTAAATATCAGCGACCTGGTTTGTGAACCTACGTTTTGAAGCCTCGAGTTTGGCCGAGAGGGCGCTGCCATGTTGATCTATTGCAATCAGCGGCACCGGACGTGACCATATTTGGACGAGACGGCGGGGCTAGCGGCTGTGTGCGGAGCTAGCTAGCTCCCTTAGCTAGGTGCGTCTGTAATTCACGTTAACTGTCATTTTAGCAGGGCTGATGTAACCAGCTGCTCCCTAGAACGTCCTGCACGGTCCAGACTCGAAAATCGGGTACGGGAGGCGGACACGCTGACGAAGAGGCCAAAACCTTTACTGAAGGAATAAATCAGCTGAGAAGTCGAAACATTTTCTCAGAGACTTCTATACAATCACACTTCTTTCTGCAGCCGCTGGAGTCGCCCCCTCCTGGCTGCAGGAGAGGACGCAGGTTTAAGGGATTTCCGCATTGGCTTCACCCAATAATCTTCTAGTGTGCGGCCAGCATAAATCATTTAGATGTGGTTGGAGCACTGAAAAAGGGCGTGGCTTAGCAAAAACGGCAGATTTTCAGATCAGGAGGAGGTGGATATGGGATCAATGAATAAAGAATTTATTCTTTGGAAAGTTAATTTGGCCAGCTGGAATCCAAACAGTCACCGCCTACTGAGTTAATGCTCTGCTAGCTACCCATGCTGCTAGCTAACGGTGAAGTGCAGGTTTTATGTGATGGGTGGGGGTCAGCTGGTCACCACAATTCATCTTTGAACCGAGCCAGTTCTACAGGAAAAGAAAAGAGGGGGATGTCTGAAACACATTGAGCTTGTAACAAGAGATATTACATCACTGTCATCTTATAATCCAATGATCTAAGGTTTGGAAGTTAAAGCTAAAGTTCAACGCGTGTGGTGGAGCGCCAGCTGAAGCCCGTCATACAGACAGAAGCAGCTCAGTGGATGATCTGATCTGGGGAGCGAATGTGATCGAGCTGCTGATTTGACGGTGTCGCATCCCAACGAGATAACTCCACAGGTGTGTCATGATTATAAAAAGGAGATGATGGGTGGCGGCGTCTTGACACGCATCACGCTGCAGGTGTGTGTTGCCACACCCAGACTGACCCGTAAGACAGCTCACATTATTATGAAACTGCACTCACACCCAACTACTGCAAGTCCAGGAGCTAAAGTTTAACCAGGTTCTACAATCAAAGGCACGACTTTATGCCCTGGCAACACGAGCAGAGAAGCTTCAGGCTCTGTTGGCACTCAAGGACATCTCGGTCATCTTCAAGGACTTCTGGAAATTACCCATGAAAACTCAACAATGACCACAGGGAACATCTAAAGGGTCATTTAAGACCTATTTAACCTGCTCAAGGACTCAACTAGTCAGACTAAACTAGAAATAATACATGGGGACATTATTTAACCTCCAGGGGCCACATTACAGGAAGTTCCTGTCTGAAGTCCGAAGTTAAGACAGGAAGAGTCTCAGATGGGATTTTTCCCAGTTTGGTTTTACAGAAGCAAATCCTGACTAACTTTAGGAATCCTGTCTTATCTCCCTTCATCCTATCTCAGGTTAGGAAATCCTAAACAGTCGATCCGACAGCGGTGATCAACTTTTATGTCTGTTACCTAGCAACCGAGCTAAACGGCTTTTAATCGCTGTTTTTTAATGAAACATACACACAACTGTCACTGAACTTCAAGTCAGGTGACTCAGAGGTTTTGGTAACCTCCGTTGAGAAATTTAAATTGACGTGACGCTTATCTGGGGAGATTAAAGAGGGGGGGGGCGGCTAACACAGCGGGCGCAGTCACCGCAGCATCTCACCGGGGTGAAGTTAGTTTAATATTCAACATTCGTCGTTTTTTCGCGCCTGTTACCTTCAATAGCTCCGTGTCGAAATCTCCATTTCTCCCTGGATATATTTGAAAGCTAATTCAGGCAGAAGTTTCACAGTTGTGGTCGTTGACGCTGTCAAAAAGAAAATCAGTCCATTTAGAAGTCATACGAAGAGAAAGCAGCTGTTTTGTCCCGGCGGTGGCTCCTCCTCCCTCACTGACCCCGGCAGAAACCCCAACTCTGCTCGGGAAAGTTAATAATAAAGGCTGCGGGCTGACGTCAGCATGTTTTTCATGTATGTCTTGAATTTAATGATCTCCTCCAATCAAACAGCTGCATCAGGATCCTTTTGTTCCATCAAGCCTTCACACTATGTTTTATAATGAGACGTTATCCAGCGTCACATCGCCGACAGCCTTTCTGCTAACGAGGGTTCGGTCATCAAACACATCGGTAGAATCAGTTATTAAGTTCGGCCTGTTGACATTTTGTTGATCTTGTGAAAGCAGTAAAAGAGCAGCTACCTGATGGAAAAGTAAAGTTAGGACAGCTCAACAGTTCTCCTGAAGTTACGGGGAGTTTATTTAAG